CTGCTCAGCGGGGAGTCTGCTTCTCCCTCTGACCCTCCTCCCTCTCGTGCTCTCTGTCTCTCATTCTCTCTCTCGCAAATAAAAAAAAAAAAAAAAGATTTTATTTATTTATTTGACGGAGACACAGCGAGAGAGGGAATACAAGCAGGGGGAGCGGGAGAAGGAGAAGAGGCTTCCGGCTGAGCAGGGAGCCCAATGTGGGGCTGGATCCCAGGACCCTGAGATCATGACCTGAGCTTAACGACTGAGCCACCCAGGTGCCCCCAAATCTGTGAGTTTAAATTGAAATGTTAATGGGATGGCATAACGAGTACACGAGTGAAACAGATTTGTACTTAATTCTAATGGGGACAAGTATTGGGGAGCCTTCAAATGCTTTTGAACAGAATTTGATCTGACATTGGTGTACAAGATGAATTAAAGAAGAAAAGATCATAAAGAGGTGAAAGGCCCTTAGACACAATTTAACCCAATATCTTTATCAAAGGAGTTCAGAAAGATTAAATGTATTTCGTAAGCTAGTGATAGGTTCTGAACAATGCCAGGATTCCAGTTGATTGGAAGTAACCAGTGAGTAATCTATAAATATACAGTTGTCACAATGTACATAGTGTAACTGTAGCCCTTATTTATGTATGATACTTGTCAGTATATAGCCATATTAGTATTTTTTATATCTGCATGCATCAGTGTTACCTTAATTTATAAATTCTTATGGGCAAGCGTTATGTTAATTTATTTCATGAATCCACTAGAGGTCACTGTGTCTTCAGAGAATGATATTTTTAAGTGTTTTAATGATAAGAATTCTAGAATTCAGTGTTCTTTTCAAAAGCCTTTGTAGCTGGTGCACGTGTAAGCTCTACAGAAATGTGATTTTTAAAGAAAGTCTGTTCACAAATGGTATGGGGTATAACATTCAGAACCTATCTTCTTTAAAAGAAGGGGAAAAAATGTTTCTTTTAAATGGCAGCATCTAGTATTTAACGCAGAGATATTTTTATTAACTTAAAGTGTCATCATAATAAATTACATCACCATCATAATTAAATCATAATATTTTTTATTTATTATTAAATAATAATATTAAATTTTTAAAAAATAAAAGGAAATTTTAAAATCCACTCAAAGAATTGAATATTTTATCACAGTGACTTCCAAAATTTTTGAGCACCATAAGTATATTTTACATTATGATCTAATACATATAACTGAAACAAAGTTTTATGAAATTACATTTATCCTTATAACACGAAAGCCTCTGATATTTTCTGCTCTGTTGCTTTTTTAAAATGCTGTAGCAACCCATTTACTTGGTTGATTCTGATCCAAAGTTTTAAGAGTACTGTTTTGTTGTATCTAGCTTAGGTTTTTAGTTGTGTTACTGTCAGAAAGTGTTACCATCAACAGTAAGCCTCAGTTTCCTCATTTGCAAAGTAGAAAGTTGCATTTAACCTCTTAGTTCCCTTTAATTCTAATGTTTTACAGTTCTGGGTCAGTCACTGCCACTGTAGTGAAAATTTGCTAGATAGGAAATGTCTTATTTATAAAAGTGATGAAAATTAAAATTATCAACATAAGACTAGGGAAAGTTATACTACTTTTAGGGAAGTCTGTCTCATTTAAGAATTTAGATTAAAAGTTACTGACTTAAATAATTTGAACTCTTCAGCCTGTAAAGTTGAAGGTTGATAAAGGATTGGATCAAAGTTTTTCAATTATGAAGAAAAACAGGAATGTTTTATAGCATGTCCAGAGCAACTTGAAGTTGACATCTTCAGGGACACCATGAGCTTGCACACTATTTGGAAATAGAATATTGAATTTGACTCAATATAGTCTTTCTTACATTGCTGTGAAAGCTAATATAAATTTCTTCATCAGATACCAAAATACTAAAATCTGTAGTGTCTCTTAACATTTCTAAGGTATTATTTTATATCACAGAAAGCTCACTACCTCATTGGTAAATATGTATAGATAGATTTAAGAAAGATTTAGACAAATTCATGAATTCTAGCTCCATACTTCTGTTGAGGCTTTGGAGTCAGAAGGGGCCTTAGAGGTTTTCTACTCCCTCATTTTTATTATTAAGGTATGAAAAAATATCTAGAGTATATCTTTAATGTCATGGAGAATAGCAGTGCTTCTCACAAAATGTCTCCTGATGCCGTGTGAGAGACAAAACATTGACCTAGATGGACTGGGCCATGACGCAGTATGATGCTTCTCATGTTGTGAGTTAGAAATTTTTCACCCACTTGGTGGCCAGAAACAGACCACATACACTGTGTTCCTCTGAGACAGCGTGCTCATTTAGATAGTCATATAGTTACACTTAGAAATCCTGTTTTGTTTGACTGTAGGCTCTGACAAGCCTTGGAAGTTTCTTTGTAACCTAAAAAGTCAGGAGTTAAAACTAAGAAGGAAGGACAAATGTTGAGAATCAAATTATGGTTTAAAAGATAAAATTAGGGTGAATGGTTAATGCTGACAGAGCTAAAAGCGCCATCATGTGGCCCGGAGTAGGGGATTTTCACACATGCTTCTTGGCAATAACAGTATAATCTTAGAGGTGCGGAAGCCAAAAAACCTCTGCAGAACAACTTCTGTAACCTCTTCCTGAACAGCCACTTCTGTTGCTTGGTATACCGAATAAAAACTTTCTGAAAGAGGTTGTTTGTTTTTTTTTTTTTAAGATTTTATTTATTTGTCAGAGAGAGTACAAGCAGAGGGAGTGGCAGGCAGAGTGATAAGAGGTTTTAACATGTCTCAGATTATATTTGGAAAATTTCCACCACAGGGGGGAATTGTAGCCTGCTGCTTCTGTTGGTTTATGTTGAATA